TCAGAGACCCACTCCACCCAGCTCACACTCTGCTCAGACACAAAAACTGCGCCCACAACCTCAGGCACAGCAGAGCAGACAGTATCATCAGACACAGAACTAGACTTTACAACAGCTTTTCCCCTGCCACAGTAAGACTGAAGATGTGAAGATGAATACAAAATCTGAAAAATCTGTTTAATACCCCCTCATTACCCTACTAAGTAGAATACCATATACAATTACACTATGTGCAATACCATATGCAATATCTGAAACTCATCATTTTACCTGCTATCTTATTCCTGCATCCACAATTTTATCAACTATTTTGTATTTTTGTATTTTGCATTCTTGGGTGATCTTATATTTAGATCGGCTGTTCGTTATTTTGGCTTTAAACTCTTTACTTGACTCCAGGAGAGCTCTGCACAAGAATTCCTATATGCCTAGACTGTGTGTTTATGTCAAATAAAAATCTTGAATATTGAATCTTGAAGTTACCGTAACTGTAGCTAACAGTTGACGCTAGCTGTCCGTACAACGAAGTGTTTAAATCTGCCAAATATTAATTAAACGTCTGTGTTTGCTATAGTTACTATCTACTTACCCTCTCTCTCTTTCTGAAGCCACAGTCTGTTCAGTCTCCCGTGTAGCTTCTCTTCGTTTCTCGCCATGTCAACTTCACTCCAGAACCACACAGCCCTGCGAGGCTCAGGCGAAACAACGTCACGTGACATACAGTGGCCCTCATGTGATAATAACATATCGCGAGCTCAACTCCCATCGTGAGTAAACGTGCACTCGTATTTGTTAAAAACGTCATGTTTGAAAATACATGAAACAGTTCTTTTTAAAAACAGTATTCATTTATATATGGTATTTTATGTTGTTCAGTATATGTTGTCCTTGTCCTTTCTATTTTGTTTTCCTTTCATAAGATTCGATTATGATGATTTGATTTGAGATGGAACATAAGATGGCTTCAAATAGATAGTCTTTTTTGAAAACATCAACAACAAACAAATTAACCTGCTCTAACCTGTAAAGCATAAAATGTTTCCTGCTTTTTTAAATTCGAATTTCATTTATCATATTTCATGTTTCTACACAATATTTTATACTGTATATAGGTTTAAGTGTTAATTTATCACAATGAAAACAAAATTAAATACAGTTACAGTTGTATATAGTTAAATATAGTTATAGTTAAAAGGTGTTGTGGCCAAGCCTTTTTGTGTCTCTCTCATTACACTGGAGTCAGAGCTGTCTGTAGGTCTCTGAATTAAATTATTTTAGTCACAGTATGTTAATTCTTAACTGTGAGTGTTTTCTGATGAAAGAGGAATGATTTCTTCAATACAAGAGCAGCATAGTGGAAGAGTGATGTAAGGGGTATGTGAGGAAAAAAATCTGCAAGTGTTGCTTATCATGAGGAAACTAGACTGGAAAAAAATCTAACCATGACCTCTGTGGATCTCTTGTGGTTTTGGTGTTAGACACCAGTTTTTTGTTGTTTTTTTTCCAAAAATGACACAGGAAGAAGCACTTAGGTAAATGTGTCTCACCCATGGTTGTAAAAGGTATCAATAGCATTAAGCTGGCTTTATATTCTCACTTCCTGCCATTTGCTCTTTTAACTGTTCTCCGTCTATTTGACAAGAAACGTCTTTCTCTTGAGTAAAGTTGCAATGTTGTTATATTCTGGTGTCTCCACTTTCTGCCACCTGCAGTGGGGTCTTCCCCACATTATTTGTAGCCTGCAGATTCGCTTTCTTCTTCCATCCCATGTGCCCAGCTTGGCCCCAGTTGACAAGTCTCTTCACTATCTCATGGTGTCCACTGCATGCAGCACAGTGCAGGGGAGTGTCTTTACTGTGATATGTAGTGTTGATCTTTGCCCCAGCCTCCAGGAGCAGCACAACCACACTATCATGGCCTTTCTCAGGTGTGGCATGGAGCGGTGATTTCCTCCATGCATTCCACTCCTCTATCCCCTTGTTGTTGAGTGACTGTAGAAGAGCTGAAACCACACTGGCATGCCTACCAGCTGCTGCATATTGGAGAGGTGTGGAACGATCCATGTCTTTAGCTTCCCCCTTTGCCTTATTGGACAACGGGGCAGTTACAGCATCTAACTTCCCCTCCAAGCAGCCAGGTGAAGGGCAGTTTTTTTCTCATTATCAGTGGTGTTTGAGTTGACCTTGGCTGACAACAGGAAGTCCACAACACGGCTTTCTCCCTGGGAAGAGGCTGCCCAGTGCAAGGCTGTCTTCCCCAGCCTGTCTTTGGCTCGTTGTGCTGTAGAAGCTGGATCACTGTGTTTGCATGGTTGCGTTGACTGGCTAAATGCAGAGGGGTCAGTTCATTCTGGCCTACTGTATTTATCTAAAGAAAGACACATAGCTCTCAGTCTCAACAAACAAATACTTACAAACCTAACACCAACTGCTTTGACCTTTACCTGTACTCCAACCTTTAACAACAGACCAACTTTGTCAGACCTATTACACTCAGCTGCCAGATGCAGAGGGGTTTGGACTTTAGGTCCAGTAATGTTTGGGTCCAGTCCCCCTTCCCACTATGGGCTTACACTGTGGACAGCCAGGTGCAAGGCTGAGGAGAGGTCAGGCAAAGTAGGATCCAACTTGACCTGTTTTGCTACTAGTATACTGAAACAAACAAACAACTAATTAGTTTTTCCTTTATTTTGTCACGAGTCTGCACATTAAAAAAACAGCTTCACCTGCATTAGTCACAGTGCAACTTGACTGCCAGCAGTTTACTAGAAGCAGAAAGGAGAAGCAGGTAAAAATGATTTCTAACTACACACTTCTGGTGCTAGCTGTGGTTTGATTAAAGCATGGTGTGAGCTTGTATGTTTGTAGCTTTATGCTTTATTTATGTATACTTAACACTTCAATAAAGATGTCTAATGCTTGCTTATGTTATACTGATTCAAGTTGTTAAATAGCTTTACTATAAGTGCTATAGTCTTTAGTGAAAAGGCTCACCAAGCAGATGATAGAAGAATTGATTCTTGATTGTGCTTAACAGCCTCATTTAGAACATCTCAGTTGACCTTAGCCCCTGCATTAAGAAAGACATCAGCTGTTTTCTCACTGTTTCTGGTAACTGCTTAAAAAAGCTGTTTTTTAATGGTTGTTTCTGGCATCAAGAGCAGCACCGCTGTGCAGCAGCAAACGTATCCTGTTTGTGGCTTTCTGACTGCTTGGCCTCCTCCTTCACTGAATCCAGGTGCAGCCAGGTGAATGGGCATTTTTGTTTTGCAGATTCAGAGTGTAAATGGGGGCCCTGGCCTTTATGAGGGCCTCGACTGTCTTGGTGTGACCCCTACTGGCTGCTTTGTGAAGAGCTGTGTGGCCCTTATCATCCTGCAGGTCCAGTCTGGCTCCTTTATAGATCAAGTCTTCAGTGATCAACAGGTGGCCATGCTCTGCAGCTACATATAATAGACTCTCTTCGGAGGAATTGATGGTGTCGATATCAATATCTTCTAATAGCCCCTCCTGCAAAAATAGCTCCTCATCTGTAGTAATCATGTGAACCTAATGTTCTGGTTTACTTTGTGCTGGATTATCATCTATTTTTTCAAGCGGCACAGTACTTCTATCTTCTTTTTCAGGACTAATTATTTTAGTTTCTTAAATGGCAATGAGTCTTTTTATTGGTCTGAATGACCAGTTGATCAGTAGTTTTATCCATTCCCTCCCTTTCCCTCTCCAACAAATATCCAATCAGTTTTCTCTTAGTATCTCAAATACATTCATTCACACTCCCCACATAGGTCTTGATTTGATAAAGGTCAGGCTCTCCCAGCATAAAACAAGGATAGAAAAACTTCTGGCATGCTCCTTCACCTCTGGCCTCCAGGATAGCCAGGACCCTGGAGTTATGGTCTTTGTGTGTCAAAATAATGTATCTCTTGGCTGCTGGCATGACCCTCTCTGTGACAAGGAGATCCAATAAATCCTCAGTATTTGAGATCCTATAGATCAGATCTCTTCTCTTTGTATGGATCCCATCCACAGCATTGGGGTCCATGTAGTTTGATGCTGCTTGCGCATCAAAATCTTTGAGTTTATTGAATATTTTAAACCTAAGCCTCCACACTCAGCAAGTCCTTGTCTAACTTGTGTTTCTGGCTTTGTGTGTGTGTGTTTATACTTCATTGCTAAGTGAAACATCCTGCCTTAGCAACTAAATGCAGACATAAGCCATACACCATAGTGATCTGTCCAGCTCAATGTACCCTTTGTGAGATTATGTAACCAACCTACTGTACATCATTCCTTTAATCAGATAATCAGATGCAGTATGGCAGGTATGACAGTAGCAAACATTGTTTGAAATGTACATAATTTTAATTTAGAAAACATAACAATAACAGGTTTTGAAACAGAGCTCTGTGTGTGTAGGGGTTATATATATATGCGAGGAGAGAGAAAGCAACCACACATGTGAGTGACTGAGCGTGTGTGGGTGCAGAGGTGATGCATCCCCTAGGTAACCCCTTTCTGCTCAGTCTCTGGGTGACACCTATGGAAATGCCATTGAGATATCAAATAATTAACATGTCATTTTTGATGATCTTGTGCCATTTCACAAGCAAAACATTTTCCTCTACTTGTTTTTGTATGTGCCATGTGTTGGAAGAATTGGTAGAGGAAAATGTCAACAATAAATGTTCTCATTATGTAGCAGAATGACTTCTGTCAGGGTTACATTATTATACATTAATCAAATCAAATCAAATTTTATTTGTATAGCGCCAAATCACAACAAAAGTCATCTCAGGACACTTTACAAAGTAAGGTCTAGACCTTACTGTTATCAGTATTATTACAGAGGGAAAATCCAACAAATCCCCCTTGAGCAAACACTTGGTGACAGTGGGGAGGAAAAACTCCCTTTAACGGAAGAAACCTCCAACAGACCCCGGCTCTTGGTGGGCGGCCTTCTGCCTCGACCGGTTGGGGTGAGTGGATAGAGGAGAGACAAAGAAGAAAAGCAACAAGACACAACAATCAAACACTGATCAGGTCGATGTGGCTGGTGACTGCTCGTCAGAGACATAGAGCTCCAGGGCCAGGGCAACCTGCAGAAAGGTACAGGGAGAGAGAGAGGACACACTACGGGAGAGAGGAGACACAAAGTTAGTAATGTGTAATGGTGGCATATAGAAGTATAGAGGGGGGGAGAGAAACCGAGAGCATCATGGGGCCCCCCAGCAGCCTAGGCCTATAGCAGCCTAACTAAGGGACGGCTCAGGGTCACCTGATTCAGCCCCAACTATAAGCTTTATCAAAAAGGAACGTCTTAAGTCTAATCTTAAAGGTAGAGAGGGTGTCCGCCTCCCGAACTGAGACTGGGAGTTGGTTCCATAGGAGAGAAGCTTGATAGCTAAAGGCTCTGC